TCACGCGTCCCTGCCTCACCCACAAGTGCAGCTCCCGCTCAGCATATCCACAGCCACCCCCTTCGCAGTAGACATGCTCCTCAAACCCGACAACCGCTCAAATGTCCTCTTCCCAAAAGACGCCTGTAGCAAACCAGCCGGATCGCCTCCGCACCGCAACCAACCTCCCTGAAAAACGCCCGACCCAGAGCGGCCCTCTCCATAGATAGGCTACACGAACCTTCTCACCCCACCCCTGCTTCCTCCCAAGTGCACACATTCCCCCACTGCAACCTACTCACCAATATTTATCCACGCACAACGCCCTTCCCACCCTTCCCACCAAGCACGCACGTCCTCCTGAATTCCAACCATCCCACGCAAAAGCGCCGCACGATACACCTCTAAACACAAAACCCATGCCTGCCCTATCCATACCATTGCCCAAACTACCCACTCCTCGCCAATGCCTGCTCTCAACAGCCCACGCTAAAAATAGTTACTACGACAAACCTGCTTCCATCCACATCCGCAGCAACAACCTCAGCACACGTCTCTTCCTCACCCACAAGTGCATCCCCCGTTCAACATACCTACAGCCACCCCCTTCGCAGTAGACATGCTCCTCAAGCCCAACAACCGCTCATATGTCCTCTTCCCAAAAGGCGCCTGTAGCAAACCAGCCGGATCGCCTCCTCACCGCGACCAACCTCCCTGAAAAACGCCCAACCGACGGCATGCCCTCTCCATAGATAGGCTATACGAACCTTCTCACCCCGCGCCTCCTTCCTCCCAAGAGCACACATTCCCCCACTGCAACCTACTCACCAATATTTATCCACGCACAACGCCCTTCCCACCCCTCCCACCAAGCACGCACGTCCTTCTGAATTCCAACCATCCCACGCAAAAGCGCCGCACGATACACCTCTAAACACAAAGCCCATGCCTGCCCTACCCATACCATTGCCCAAACTACCCACTCCTCGCCAATGCCTGTTCTCAACAGCCCACGCTAAAATTAGTTACTACGACAAACCTGCTTCCATCCACATCCGCAGCAACAACCTCAGCAAACGTCTCTTCCTCACCCGCAAGTGCATTTCCCCCTCAACATACCTACAGCCACCCCCTTCGCAGTAGACATGCTCCTCAAACCTAACAACCGCTCATATGCCACCTACCCAAAAGACGGCCGTAGCAAACCAGCCGGATCGCCTCCGCACCGCAACCAACCTCCCTGAAAAACGCCCAACCCATGGCAGGCCTTTCCACGTATACGCTATCAGAGCCTTCTCCCCCCACCCCTCCTTCCTCCTAAGTCCACGCGCTGCAACCTACTCACCAATATTTATCCACGCACAACGCCCATCCCACCCCTCCCACCAAGCACGCACGTGCTTCTGAATTCCAACCATGCCAAGCAAAAGCGCCGCACGATACACCTCTAAACACAAAACCCCAGCCCGCCCTACCCATACCATTGCCCAAACTACCCACTCCTCGCCAATGCCTGCTCTCAACCGCCCACGCTAAAAATAGTTGCTACGACAAGCCTGCTTCCATCCACGTCCGCAGCAACAACCTCAGCACCCGTCTCTTCCTCATCCACAAGTGCATTTCCCCCTCAACATACCTACAGAAACCCCCTTCGCAGTAGACATGCTCCTCAAACCTAACAACCGCTCATATGCCACCTACCCAAAAGACGGCCGTAGCAAACCAGCCGGATCGCCTCCGCACCGCAACCAACCTCCCTGAAAAACGCCCAACCCATG